ATAAGAAATGAAATATAATTAAAATAAGATGGTCTTCCCTTTATCCTCCGGGAGGATAGACTCTCGGGTTGCATCATCCATTCAGCAAATGAAGAATAAACTTTGGTAGGAGTATAACTATGCCCTTCCCAGCCTTTCTAATACAGGTCCCCTTTTCTACCTAATGTTGTATCCGTATCATTGGTCTTTGCTTCTATTGCACAGACAAAACAAGAAATCAATAAGTAATTATGGATAGGCAAAGGAATGCTGCTGATTCCCTCCAGTGCCCAAGTCACCATGGCTGACAGGGTAACACAGCCTGGTGGAGTTGTCTGAGCACTCTGCACACATGACCCAGCTGCTGTGGTCATGCAGACTGGACCTGCGGGAGCACATCTAACATTCGCTCATCATACTCATCTTCTGGCTTCCCACGTGAGTTAGAACACTGTTTCTGAGATACAGTCAAGAAAATTTACAGCAAGGTCAAAATTCAAAAACTTCAAAATTTTCAGCTTTGTAGTAAGGACTAATTTAATACCTCCTTCATTGTATTAGCATGTTAATAATTGATAGATTTGACCTCTGAGTATCTAAGATGGTGTTGGAAGAACAGTAAGTCCTCTATAAAAATCCATTAAACTCCTAGATTGAAAAGCTATTGTTTTCATCAACGAACTTGCTCACCAGGAGTTTATTAATCCTTCTACTATGCAAGAAATATCTTCTCCAAGAAATGACTAGAAAATCAAAAAGATTCGGGCCATATTCTGAAAATATAAACAAACAAATATCCAAGGCAAGACTTATGTCTCAAGGCTCTCAATTGCAGCTCTTCAAGTGTTTTCTTTCTGAATCACTTGATGTCAAGTTAGGGTAGCAAAAGAAAAGGCTGAGGTTAAACTCAGCTATGAAATATTCTCCTCTGTAAATCTGAGAATTTACCTGGTGTTGTTTGTATTGACAAAGAAGGTCTTTCTTTATGAGGTCCCTTGACCTCTAAGAGACAATTCTCAGACACTCATCATATACTATCTGTCCAAAAACAAATGCACAAATGGGAATAGTAGCAAAAATCAATTGTGCAAAAGTGAAAATCGATGTAAGTGGCAGTTGCTGAACAAGAAGTGACTAAGTTACAGCCCTTACTCAAATAGACCCCCAAGGAACGGAAACCCACACAGCTTCACCCAAATTAAACATTTCCTCTGTAATTCTACTCTGTCACTGAGCTTCACCCCTCTGGCTTTATGTCAAAAATTCCTGAGACAAAGAGCAGTGGGGCAAGACTCGATCAAGCAATAGAAAACTCGACAAGTTGAATGTAAGTTCACATACATACAGGAATTCAGGTTGTACTCAACTCAAACTCAACCACTTATCTTCTGGCAAAACTAGATAGACTGGGTGGTGTTACAGCTACCTTAAGTTCCTAAAATTAGATGGTCCTCTTCTTTTCAGGTATTTCATTCACCTCATGCCTGCCAAGCTAGTTAGATAGAGAAAAAAATATATGGCCTATGGTGAGGAAAGCCAGCCTGGCTAACAGAGTTGCATCTGCTTTTTTCACTCTGCACAGGAGACAGAGTTGCTTCCTTCTCTCCTGGGGACAGTGATACCATTTGCTTGGCTACCTAGCTGTCCCTGAGCTTTTAGCATCTGTTGGTGTATCCCTCGTGCCTGGACTTCTTCATTGGGCTATGCAGAATTGTCCATTAACCTTAGACTTCTGCTAGACCACAACAAGCAAACCACACTAGACCCAAAAGCCTCATGCAGTTTGAGAAGTCCTGCTTAAAAAAGAAATACTTATTATCATGAGATCATGTAAAGTCTTTGGAATGCACTGGCTTGACCTAAAACATAAGCCGCAAAAGCAGCAGTCATTTCATTTCTGTCACTCAGCGTGTAGATCACTCTGCTAACACCACTCAGGACAGTAGCCTCTGAAGCCCCAAGTTCTCAGGAACCCACAGCTGAGATGCTTTTGCTCTATGCTCAGGCTTTCTAAGAATGGGCTCCCTGTCCCACATCTTCCATCTCAGTGAAAATGCTACAGCAGTTACTACTTGCGTTATTTTTAACCACTAGCCCACATCCACAGTTCCTCAGTCCTATATGAGACCTGTGCACTAGGAAAGACCAAGAAGTCTTCAGATGATCTGTCACAGGGTAACAATATGAAAAAAAAATGTTATCAGTGGCCACAAAAGAAGTAGAGTCAAAGAATTCATAATCTTCTTGCTTCTTTTTGTTGCTGCAGGTACTGAGGTAGCATGACCTGTGACCTCCTGAGACAGACACTGAAGCCCATTTCCTCAGTCATAGACTAACCTGTGTTTGAGATATGTGAATCCAGTTAGCTCTCTTCCATGCCAGTATGTCCCCTGACACCCATTTCCTCAGTCTCCCACCCTCCCATCCCCAGCAAACAGCCATCTCCATATTCATTCACCACACAACCAGTTTCTTATCTCTTGAATGCTTTATGTTTAATTTTTTTCTGGATTCAATTCCAAAACAGATATACATTTCTCTTGTTTATGGTCTGATATTCTGAAGCCATTTTCTCTGAAAAAGAAGGAGGTATGTCTGTTTCTCTCTTTTCTGTTTCATCAGCCTCCTGTATTCATTCTTGCTCTGTGAATCCACATTCTCTCTGAACTGTCTTTGTCTCCTCTCCTGATCACCCTGCTCCAATGTTCTCACTGATATCCCCTCACACTTAAGTTTCCCAGTTAAGATTGTAGTTTGCTCTCTGTGTCTTCCAAGCTTCCCATTTCATACTTCTGTCCCTTGCAGGTGGTCCTGGCAGCTGTCCTCACACTGTGATGAAATCATTGCTCAATGCAAAATTGAATGGATGAGCTAAGGAGGACTCCCAGCTATAACCCCAATCTTCATGGTTAATGACGCAACACCACAGAGGTTTAATTTGCTGCTTGGGTAGCCATCTTGGATGACTTTATGGATGAGTGCGTGGGTCAGTTCTCCCCCCATGCACACTTTGTACCTGTGGCTCCAGTAGGGTATAAGGCTCACAGCCATTCCTGTCATTGGTGATACCATCTCCTCTACTGAGTAGGTCTCTGTCCATTAGCAGGATCTCATTCACCCATGCCCAGTAACACAGACCTGTAATCTCTGCTACTCCAGAAGCTGAGGCAGAAGTATCTGTGTGCTTGAGCCACAGATTAAGATCCTGTCTCAAACTATAAGCAAGAAATGAGACTGGAAATTAAGTGGTAGAGCACTTGTTTACAGATGTTATTCCCAGCGTTCAACTCCCAACATTTCCAAACCTTAAAGAATAAAAGCCATCGTATGCAAGACATGCTGGGGACTGTTGCCAAGGTGCCTGTCTAGGAAAAAATGAAAATGAACTCTGGAGGTCAATCCCTGACACTTCCTCCTCAGGGAAACACTCTCCTTTGTGTTTTTTGACCACTAATTTCCTTGCTTTCCTGTTCTCCTGCAAGACTTTTCTTCATCATCTATTTTAAAGTCCCTGATCTTCTCTGGGCAATCTTTCCTTTGCATCCTATCCTATGTGTGTAATTGATTTCATCAGCTCTCCTGTGAAGGCATTTGACACCACTGGTACCACAGCTCTGTGTGCTCTCACTCCTGCATTTTAAATCTATACGAGAGCCTAGCTGTGCAAATGTCTATGTGATGTTTCCACATGGGTAACTGCCTCCTTCCATGGTCCTCACATCAGAACTTAGCTCTCAGTATCATCTCCAAATCTATTCTTCCTCCTTCATTGCTTGGTACAGTGCCTTCCTCATTTTATTGCACCACCGTTACTATCTTCAGAACACACTCTTCAAATCACATATTTGCCCTTGCCAATATTCTTCAGAGTCCAATTCCTCTAAAGGTAACTTTCCACCCTTGTCTCTGAGACTTTCTCGGTCCACCTCCCCTCAGCTCTTTTCTTTAGCCTCTCTAGTCTTGCTTCTACTTGTTCTTACTCTGCAGGCTGCCCCAAGGTCTGTATTGCCTACACGAGGTTAACTCTTCAATCTCCCTCCATTCCCTCCATGCCCAGCCATTTATAGCCCCAGCTTCACTGTTACTTCTTCTGCGAAGCCTTTTATGCCTCTCTAGAGCTCTCTAGGGTTGGAAACAATAGTTTCACTGCAGAGCTCTTACTGAAGGCTTTTGCTGTGGCTGTACCAAAATGCTTGTCCCTCCACGCCTGTCATTTTCTCTCTTCTCATCTAGGGCTGCACGCCATACTTATGAGCACCTACTATGTGATAACACCATGTATCTGCCTGTGGACTCAGGCTTGCCAGGGCATATTCAGTGTCTACAGTCCTTCCCCTGTGTGCAACATTCTGCAGGAGATGGGACCCAGGTGAAATTCCAATTTACCGGTCGCTTATGAGCATGCATGAAAAGCACCTGACTTGCAGTGTCAATGTGATGTTTCAGAAGCCTTTTGTTCAGATCCATAAACACGAAGGGCTAAATTTTGTTCAGTTGTATCCCAAATTTAGCTTTATAGTATTAATTAGAACACAGAGGACACAGTTTAATAAAAACAGTAAAGTCAGCTTTTAAATGTTTTTAATGAAATAGAATTGCATCACTTCCCTGCTCCCTTTCCTCCCTCCGGCTCCTCACAAGTACCATTCTTCGAATCCTTCCCATTACCCCCTCACTCCCAAGTCGATAGCCTTACTTTCTATATTACTCTTCCAAATGTGTGTGCGTGTGATTGGGTGTGTACACAAACACACGTAAATCTGCTGAATCCATTTTTGGTAATGAAGTGTATGTGGTTTCAAGGCTGACAACTTTGCATTGAACAGCCAGTAAGTGGGCTCACCCCCGGGAGAGGCTAATTCTCCTTTAGTTGCCAAGCCTCCTTTGCCTAGGACTGGAACACTGAGAAAGCGTCTCACTCCACATTAACATATCCGTTGATATTGCCACTGTTTGGTTCTTGTTTACACCGCCATTCCCAGGAGAGACTTTCACAGCAGACTTCCTGCAACTATGGCTCTTACAATATTTCTGTTCCTCAGTGTTCCTTGAACCATAGTTGCAGACACTGTGGTGTAGATGTGTCTGTGGGGGCAGGACTCCCCACAGTCCAGTGCTCTCTGCATTGTGTCCAGTTGTGGTTTCATGAGATGGTCTCTATTAGCTGTAAAGAGAGGTGTGGGTTGTTGTTTTTTTTGTGGGTTTTTTGTTTGTTTGTTTGTTTACTAGAGTTGGTAGTTGGTAGCCACATTTCTCTGTAGATAGAAAGGATAGGATTCAGAATATAGTGAGGAATTTTGCTGATCTAGCAAAGTTGCAGCAGGAGGCTCTTTTCTAAGGTTTGTGACCTCACTAGCCCTGGGAAGCTGGCTAGATTTCCAGTAGAAGGCATGATTCGCCTCATGATTAGTAGGTGTTAATTTAAATTAGACAGGTCTTGGTTGCCACCAACACGTGCTTGCTGCTTATTGCATCTTGACGAACTGTTTGCCGCAGTGGTAATTGTTGTGGTTCACAGTTGTTGCAGCTGGATAGGACTACTTAATTGCTTCCTCCCCTTGGCAGCCTGAGTAGTATTTTCTGGAATCACAGAAACTAAACCTCAGGACAGAGGCTATCATGTCAAGTGGTATCTTCAGCAATGGGGGTCCACCCCAAACTCCTGAGAGGCAACCAAGGGTACATCAATAGTCTATATTGTCTTGGGAAATCACTTTCACTTTCCTAACCAGTGCTTAAAAAGTGGTTTCTTATGTCTGATACTGGGATAATCTAGGGTTCTTGGGAATATTATCAGCCCAAGTGGATTAAGTCATACATGTGTACAGAAACTTCCACACATATATGCAGACACATACACTCATATGTGCCGTGTATAATTTTAGGTAAATATAAAATAATATCATCTGTTAAGGTTTTATCAGTGTTTTTTTGTCCCTCCACCTTCTATACTGACATCCCTCTCTCCTCCCAGGTTTTAGCCTCATCTCAGTTATTCTGTCTGACACTTCAGATCACCTATATCCTACTGTTCATCTCATAATGCCTTTTCCCAGTATAACCCCTTTATACTGTCCTGGTTTCTGTAGATAGTCCATGCTGTATACTTAACTTACACCTTGGGATTTAGAGCTAGGAACCGCAGATAAGAGAGAACATGTTGCATTTGTCTTCCTGGGTCTGGGCTACCTCACTGAGTATGATTCTTCCTGTGTCCATCCATTTATATTCAGATCTCATGATATCACTTTTCTTTACAGCTGGAGAGTATTACCCTGTGTATATGTGCCACATTTTGATTCTCCATTCATCTGTTGCAAGACATTTGTGACCCAGCCACCCCACTGCTTGGCATATGCCTAACAGACTCAATGTCCTGTTCTATAGATACTTGCTCAGACGTTTCATTGCCACCCTACTCACAAATAGGAAATGAAAGTCAGATTTTTTACTTAAAGTCTCAAAGACGACACCAGAAAAGAGGCTCTTCTGCTTCCTACAGTCTTTGTTTTTCTTCTCTTGGTACCAACTAAATCCAGACAAGTAACAGCCGTTTACCTTCTTTGTCTAAAATATATACATTTCTTCCCAACTTGTCAAATATGCTTGATGATGGTAGGTCTTCAGAATTAGCCTGATTGAATTAAATTGAGTTCATAAAATGGATTTATACATATCTGCTTTCAAAGATGGTACTTCAGAAGAGCCCTGTTCTTATATATACTGTACCTTTAAAACCCACGTCAGTCTAGTTAAATTTCTTTAGAAGCAACAGAGCTGGAACACAGTAATGAAAGCTGAGGGTCTGTCCAGCAATATTTATTTCTGCATTAAACTGCAAATACTCCCCTTTGGCCCCTAACATTTAGTTTAAATATTTAACGCTAATGGCTTCTAGAATTGTTGGTGGAATTAGCTTAAATGAATCTTTAACAAACAGTTTACCTTAAAAAATAAAGAGAATTATTTTTACCTTAAAAATAGAGAGAATTTTGTATCATTACAACAAAGAACAGCAGAAGGTTTCATTGCTATGCAAAATCTGGCTTGGTCTTCAATCACCCTGACTATGCACCAAACATTCTGCTTCCGTTGTTTTCATGCTCATGGGTACTTTCTATTGAAATAAAGACATAAGGAGATAACTCCACTAATTCAGAATGTTTTCTTTCTCAGTTTAAAGTAACTACATTAATGAGTTTGTTCCACCTAGAAATGACTGGGAAAACAGCACATCTTTGAACAAGCATTTTTCATACATGAGCACAATTTGGGCCTTTTCAGAAGCTGGCCATGATACGTGGTTTGACTATTACTTGAACAATTGGTTCCACAGTGTAGAAGTCTTGAATGTGAATGTGAGTGACGAGCCCTAAGTATCTGAGGCTGATAAATGGATGAGCCTGAGTTACTAAAAGCCCAAAGGATTTGCAACACACATTCCTTTCTATCTCAAGTCACTCAAAGAAAATTAGAATTGACAGGCTTTATGGGCTGTAGAGCCTTCAAGGACAGCAAAGGCGAAAAACTTGTATATGTTGCTTCAACACGGAGTAGTTTCTGGGTGTCCACTGAGAAATCATTGTTCTGAAGCCAAATAAATCTTATCAGAGGAAGAAAATTTGAAAGCTGTTTATAAAACAAAAAACTAAAAAGAAAAAAAAAAAAGGGGGTCAGTGACCACACATGGTAAATGTTTATGTTAGGTTTCAGCTGATGTCCCCAATGTAAGTAAGCAATGTTTATTGTCAAAGTCGGTTATTTGATGAAGCTTGTACCATCAGGGGTGTCTATTTGTCATAAGAAAAGAGTTTGCCGAATTTAAATTCTAATATCCAATACGCCAAAACTGGCTTTGCAGAGTGTTGTAAACAGGGCCGTCAACTGAACTTAACCAGGCCATGGCTCTTTAATCACCCAACTTTGACTTGCTCTCCCAAGCTCATCTCCCAGAAGCAGAAGTCAGAGGCCACAGAACATGTAACTCAAAATCCAGCTCCCTCCTAACCCTCACCTGTTTACTGAGTTTGCCACGATGCCCCGTTTTCTCTCTCATGACTACCAAGTCTCCAAACTTTCCATTTAGCAGTTGAGGCATTTCTCTTTCGTCCTCCTTCTCGTAAACTCTATTCTGGGGCCTGAACCACATCCTTCCACTGACTGAGTGGCAGCTGGAGGTGAGGCAGGTGGGAGTCTGCGCACAACCCCACACTGCAGCTCTCATTCCATCTCATGTAAGCCCTCCTCCCCTCTAAATGGCATGGTCGACACGTCTTCTGGACTGTGGGTCTGTCATCACTGTTCCCTAACTAGGAAGGGTCCCACCAGGTAATGCCTTGAGGGACCAGTCCTTCAGAATGCAAGGCACCCTCTTCTAGTGGGTATGAATGCCTGTACCCAGCCTTGAGAGAAACTGGAGCACATCTAATGAGAAATGTGATGTGATCACACTTCTCATCCCTCTATGCCCAGTTCTTCTGAGAGTCTGTGGCTGGGGAAAGCTGAGTATCTTTGCTTTAAGAAGGAGCTTGTATTTTCTGAGCCATCAGAGATGAAGGAACAAGGTCACATGCTCTAAAAGATGTGCACAGAATTGGCATCAGTCCAGGGGCCAGAGGTGCTGATGGATCGATGCTTCAGAATTGCTCTTAAGATTAGCTAAAAATGAGGCAAGTTCATTCACCCCACGCTGGAACGTGGGCAGCCTAGAGGAGCTACCACGGACACTGATGGAGCTGAAGACTTCCTTCTGAACTATTTCAGCTGAACCAGTGCTGCTTTGCAGCCCAGCTGTGTGTATATCATGGATCATCAGCAAAGAAAGATTCTCATGTGATTGCTTTCCACTAAAACAATACCAAAAAAAAAAAAAAGACCATAAGACTCTAAACAGCCTCTAGATACAGTCAGAGAGTATGGCGTCTGTAGCAATGAGTGGGTTGCTACAGACTATTGCTATGGAATGGATGAGCGCTTTGTTTTACAATAATTACTGCTGCTATCTTATATCATAAAATGCAGTTAGCATATGTCAGGCCTCACTGTGCTCAGGCCTTAAGCCCGGCACCAGGGTTTCAAATCTACAAGGCTCACAGCTCAAAGACAGACAGAATCATTGCAGTCTATAATGTGCAGTAAACATGCAGTGTTGGTGGGAAACAGAAACTGCCACGTATTCCTAGACTCCCCGAGCCTTGGAGGCAGCACACATTTAGCTGCTGTGACTTGATGCACCTGCATCTCCTGCCTCCTGTTTACCTGGCACAAGACAGCACCAGGCTACAAGTACCAAACAGATTGTGGAAGGGAAGGTGCTGTGCTGTGTCTCTGAGCACAGCTAGAAGGTGTGCACATGTAACAGGGATTCAGGGAGTCGGTGAGGCTCCATACTCAGGTATGAGATCTCTCACCCCGGAGACTGTGCCTGTTTTTGATCCCATAGAAGTCGACATTGAGAATGCTTTATGTGACATTCCCTGATACACTAGACTAAAAAACTTTAAAATTGTGTGTGTGTGTGTGTTCCACTTAGCTGTCACCTCAACCTATGCAGAAAAACTACTGGCCAGTGGTTTGCAACTAGGGTGAGTCATTAGCATCAACCAAAAGGAGAAGGAAGGTTTTGCAAGGAATCATGGGGTGGGCCTTCCTCAGAACAATGCAAAAGAATGTCAAGGGTGTTGCTGCTCTTTAAGCCCTCATGCTCATGAATTTCACTGCCCTTGGTTAAAGGAGGAAAGAGAAACTAGAACAGAGCTTCTGGGTGATTACACTGGCAGAGAGGGCCTGATCCTCACAGCCTGCTTCTCCACCTCTCCTTAATATGAGACCTTTCAAGTAGGGGAGAGAGAGGCATTGAGAGCAGTTTGGGCCTTGATCGGCAGCTCTGGTTCAGCCTGTGAACAAACCTAGTGGGCTCCATGCTGATGTGGGTTCAGTGCTTTGCAGCTTCTGTAAGAAATTATGGAGCAAAAGCATGTCATCCTAAAGAAATTTGCAAACTGCTCAGCCAGCCGTGCATCCCACCCTGTCAGGGAGGTCTCTCCATTAATAGCATTCTGACTGGAAATGCTTACCATATGATCAAAACTATAAAATGAAGGGGTTGAGGAAACAGCTCTTGGGTAAAGTCCTTGTCCAAGCATGCAGACATGAGTTTAGATT